TCATTCATTCGTTCATTCAATGAACACATATTTATTAAATGCTGGACGCTATGATCAAAAACTAAGCCACACAAGTGCCCTACCTTCTAGGACCTCCCAGCCCCGAGAGTCCTCAGGTTTCTCTTTCTTAATCAGAAACTACCTTTGCAGGCTCTCCGTTCTCCCAAGACACCCTTAGATGCCTGTCTCATTATCAGCAATAATGGCAGGGGCACTAGAGTTAGGCTGCCAGGGTTAGAATCTCAGCTGTGCTACTTTCTTATCATGTAACCACAGGCAAATTCTTCCCCTGCCAGCCTCACCTACCTCATCTTCAGAATGAGGGCAATAATACCTACCAATTAGACTTGTTGTCAGAATGAAATAAAAACCCAATGAAGTGTGCTTGGCATTCAGTAATAAATGCTCACTAATACCATTTTATAACTTACCTGAAACACCCACATTTAAATCTGGAGTGGCTATTTGGCCATTCACACGGCAAAGAACTAACCCAACCACGGAAGAAGAAAATGTCCCGAACTATTTCTGTATTATATAGCAAGACTCTCCTTTTTCAAGAATATGCCAAGCCAGGTAAGCTCTACTGCTTCCCAGGAAAACGTAGAGAATCCCCAGCAGTGGGCCACTAGTGAGTTCTACCTGGTAATTCAAACTCAAAGAAGCTTCTACCACAAAACACTCTGAGATCTCAGCTGGCATGAAAGAGTAAGGGCCTGACCTGGGCTGGGGAACGTGTTGCAGAGGCTGACCCCAGAGAGTCTAGAAGGCTGCCCAAGGCACAGCGTCCAGGCTTAGCGCAGGTTCTGGTCCCCAGTGACAATCAAATCAGAGTGAGGGGAATCCTGACAACTGTCAATATTCACGTTCCAAGATGGTGCCACTGTGGTCCTGGGTGATTTGCCACTGACAGCACAAGTCTCAGTCCGTGACCCATGGTGTAAAGAAGGATCCAACTCTCCAGGGAGGCAGCTGGCAACAGCCAGATAGGATTCCCGAAGCAAGTCAATTTGGGTGAAGCATAGCCCTAGTGGGAAAGCATGGCATGAAGCAGGTAAATCAAGACAAAAATCCATTCGAATGACTTGCGCTCAGATGGCAGGTGAGTGGGAGGAAGTACACAAAGAAGGAGAATGAAGAGGGAATTCGAAGACCCATAAGTTACCCAGGGCTCATCTCTGGTGTGCCCAAAGCCAAGTCTACTGGCAACAAAGACTTAACTCCGGCCAAAGCAGGAGCATCACTTGAAACCAGGAGTTGGAGACCAGCCTGGTCAACATAGTAAGACCCCCCCAACCCCAAATCTCTACAAAAAATAAAAATAATTAGCCCAGTGTGGTGGCACACACCTGTAGTCCCAGCTACATGGGAGGCTGAGGTGGGAGGATCCCTTGATCCCAGGAGTTTGAGGCTGCAGTGAGCTCTGACTGCATCACTGCAATCCAGCCTGGGCAACTGAGTAAGACCCCAAATTTAAAAAAAAAAAAAAAAAAGGCTGGGCATGGTGGCTCAAGCCTGTAATCCCAGCACTTTGGGAGGCCAAAGCAGGCAGATCACTTAAGGTCGGGTGTTCAAGACCAGCCTGGCCAACATGGTAAAACCCCGTCTCTACTAAAAATAACAAAAATTAGCTGGGCACAATGGTATGTGCTAGTAATCCCAGTTACTCAGGAGGCTGAGGCAGGAGAATCACTTGAATCCAGGAAGCAGAAGTTGCAGTGGGCCAAGATAGTTCCACTGCACTCCAGCCTGGGTGACAGAGTGACACTCTGTCTCAAAAAAAAGAGAAAAGAAAAGAGCAAAGGAAGGGAAAATGATATCACAGGACCTGAAGGCAAACTAGGCCCATTACATGACAAATAGCAGCATTCCAGGCTGAGCTGAGGGTGTCACCATGTGCCTAGAAAGGGTTCATTCTGAATACTCAGCACTTCAAACGAAAATAAGCAACAGGTTTATCAGGGCTGCAGGGTGAAACATGGGGCTCAGTTATACTTAGGGTTAATCTTTCCTGGAGAAGGCAATTAGCAGCAGCTGACTTTCTAAGTACGTTTTCCGCATCTGTACTGTTTTTCTCAAATGCCCAAGGCCACTAGATGATTAGTCCCTGGACAATGACCTAGAGATTCACATAACTCGTTTTCCACAACACATCTTAAAACACAACTCCATCCCCAGGACATCCAGAATTTCCTCTTCCCAAACCTCAGAACCAAAGCCAAATCCCAGACCTCACACCCTTCTACATCCCAACACAGCCACAACCTATGACCTCGCTGTTCAGAGGTCACGCCAGTGTTTGAAGGCTCATTCAAACACCAAATTGCTCAAGGGTGGGGGAGGGAAAGAGCTAGCAGCACTCAGGGCCAGAATAAGAAAAGCCTTGAGATCCCAAATCAGGGCGAAGCAACTTGTTCCCAGAGCAGAGATGACTCCAGGGACTCCCAGACATAGCAATCAAAGATAGGTGGCCCCCATCTTTGTGCCTGACCTCCACAAGATGCTCAGCAAGTCACCTAATTCTGGCCACGTCCTTGACTACATTCAGTGCAGTGTCAGAGGCTCTCTTCTTATCTGCACCATGAGGAAACAAAACTGGGTGGCCTCCAAGGGCACCTCCAATCCAGGATTCTAGGGCTTCCTGAGTCAGGAGACCAAAGAAGTCCAACGTGCGTCCAGCTGAGGGAAGCAGGTCACACTCTCTGCTGGGGATGGGCCCCCAGACTACAAGAGCAGGAGCAGCCACAGGCCACAGCCCTAGAGAGAAGTGACAGGAAACAAGCCATGCCTTGGAGCCTGGATGCAGGACTTGGATCTCACAGGCAGATCCTGGCTGGCCTCTATGCGAGAGAACAGACACCAGATGCCAGGGTCAGGAGAGCGTCCTTCTCTCCAAGCTAAGATCTGAGACGGTTTCCTGTGTGTGTGTGTCTGTGTGTGTGTGTGTGTGTGTGTGTGTGTGTGTGTGGTGTGTATGGTATGTGTGTGCCTATAATATGTGTCTGTATGTGTCTGTGTGTACGTGGGGTATATGCGCATGTGGTGTGTATGTATGGGAGTGTGTGTGTATGGGGTGTGTGTGTGTGTCTGTGTGTGTGTTATGGTGTGTGTATGAGTTGTGTGTGTATGTGGGTGTGGTGTGTGTGTATGGGGGCATGTGTGTGTGTATGGTGTGTCTGGTGTGTGTATGGTTGTGATATGTGTGTATAAGGTGTATGTATGTGTCTGCCTGTGTATGTATGTATATATATATGTGTGTATGGTGTGTGTCGTGTGTGGTATGTGTATGTGGTGTATGCATGTGTGCATCTGTGTAGTGTGTATATGGTGTGTGCATGTGTATATGTGTGATGTCTGTATGGTATGTGTGGTGTGTATGTACGAGATGCATGTGTATGAGGTGTGTGTGTCTGTGTGGTATGTGTGTATGTGGGTGTGTGTGTGGTGTATGTGTGCATGAATGTTCATGTGTGTGTGTGTCTGTGTGGTATGTGTGTATGGGGTATGTGTGTGGTATATGTGCATATGAATGTTCGTGTGTGCATGTGTGTGTGTGTCTGTGTGTGTTATGGTGTATGTGTATGAGTTGTGTGTATGTGGGTGTGGTGTGTGTGTATGGGGGCATGTATGTGTGTATGGTGTATGTATGTATATATATGTGTGTGTATGGTGTGTGTCGTGCATGGTATGTGTATGTGGTGTATGCATGTGTACATCTGTGTAGTGTGTATATGGTGTGTGCATGTGTATATGTGTGATGTCTGTATGGTAGGTGTGGTGTGTGTGTATGAGATGCATGTGTATGAGGTATGTGTGTCTGTGTGGTATGTGTGTATGGGGTGTGTGTGTGGTGTATGTGCACATGAATGTTCGTGTGTGCGTGTATGTGTGTGTGTGTCTGTGTGTGTTGTAGAGTTGACCTCTCCCTGCTGATCCTCAGGTTGTGTTACTCATGAGCCTAGGCCTGGAGGCTAACCCCGTGTGCATTCCTCCAGCGCAGTGATGGGCACCCAGTCACCCCACCCCTTCCCACTGACCCAAGAATCTCACCTGGGGGTTGTCCATGTACCAGAGGAGGCAGTTGGCCTGGGTGTCCAGAATGAAGTACCTCCGCAGAAACTTGCCACTGTTCTCATGCTCCTCGATGTCCAGAAACCCACAGATTCGGTTCTGCCGATCCACATAAGGCATTCCTGGGCTCTGCTCACATCACCCTGCGCACAGGAGGGAGGTGCTGATGAGAACGAAGATGAAGCAGCTCTGCCTCAGGACCTGCGGGAATCTTTCCCAGAAGCTGGACTGAGACTCTCACCAGCTTCCTTCTGTGGGGCACCGAATGTTCCACCACAAACCCTGGAAACCACTCCCAATATTAAGCACCCATAAAAATGCATTCACACATATTCCATGCACTTTTCCGAGGCTCTATGTGCCCAGGATTACAGCCCTGTTCTCAATAGCTAAGATTTGCAAGCAACCTAAGTGGCCGTCAACAGATAAATGGATAAAGAAAATGTGGCTTATATATACAATGGAGTACTAGATCCTGTCCTTTGCAGCAACATGGATGGAACTGGGGATCATTATGTGTGAAAGAAGCCAGCCAACGAAAGACAAACATCTCATGTTCTCACTCATTTGTGGGATCTGTGGGATCCAAAAATCAAATCAATTGAACTCATGGAGATAGTAGAAGGATGGTTACCAAAGGCTGGGAAGGGTAGTGGGCTGGGGAGGAGGTGGGGATGGTTAATGGCTACAAAAAAAATAGTTAGAAAGAATGAATAAGACCTACTATTTGATAGTACAACAGAATAACTATAGTCAATAATAATTTAATTGTACATTTTCAAATAACTAAAAGAGGCTGGACATGGTGGCTGATGCCTGTAATCCCAGCACTTTGGGAGCCCGAGGTGGGTGGATCACTTGAGGTCAGGGGTTCGAGACCAGCCTGGGCAACAAGGTGCAACTCCATCTCTATTAAAAATAAAAAAAATAGCTTTGCGCAGTGGCAGTATCGTAGCCAATGAGGTTTATCCGAGGTGCAATTATTGCTAATTGAAAAATATATATATATTTTATATATATATATGCCCAGCATATATATGTATAGTAAAATATATGTATTTTGTATATATATATATGTGTGTATATAGACACAAATATATGTACATATATATTTGTGTCTATATACACACATACATACGTATGTGTATATATATACATACATACATATATATATATATATATACACAAAAAAAATTAGCTGGGCATAGTGGCACATGCTTGTAATCCCAGCTGCTCTGGAGGCTGAGGTAAGAGAATCTCTTGAACCCAGGAGGCAAATGTTGCAGTGAACCAAGATCATGCCATTGCACTCCAGCCTGGGCAACAAGAGTGAAACTCTGTCTCAATAAAATAAAATAAAAACTAAAAGCGTATAACTGGACAGTTTATATCACAAAGGATAAACGCTTGAGGAATGAATACCCCATCTTCCATGAAGTGACTGTCACATGCTGCAAACCTGTATCAAAACACCTCATATACCCCATAAATATAGACACCTATTATGTACCCACAAAAATTAAACATAAAAAAATTTTTCGAAAATTCTGCCAGGAATTAAGTCACAAAGGACAGCCTCTGCAGCTCCATGAAGATACTAAGAGATTAAAAGGCAAGAGGTTTCTGGATCCTTGAGGTAGGGTCACAGCCCTGGCCCAGCAACTCTTATGTCATTTTGCTGTCACTGTTGTGGGCTGAATTATGTCCTCTCAAAATTCCTATGTGGAAGTCCTAACCCCTAGGCCCTCAGATGACTGATGACTCCAACAGAGCAAAGTTCATGGTGGCCAAATAGCCCCAGTCCATGGAGGCCCTCTGTCCACAGCCACACAAACTTGTGAGATGGCCGGCTCAGGCCATCCCCTGCAACAGAACACTGGTCAGTGGGTGAGGTACAGAGACTCGACAGCCCTGGTCCTGCAGGCCCAGAGGGAGACACCCTCCCACAGGGTGACACCAGGCAGATTCGGATCAGGCCAATTCTAAGTAAGGATGGCAATTGGTGATGTGGCTATTGGTGGCAATTGGTGGTGGTCTCTCCCACCCCCACAAGGGGCAGTGCTGAGAGGCAGCCCCTAGAAACAAATGTCCCCCAAACACACACATGGATACCAGTGACCCACGAATCCCTTGATCCAGGTGAGGTCAGGGGGACAGAAGACAAAGACATCAGGGAGACGTCTGGGGATCCCACAGCCACTCACTGAGAAAGGATAAAGGACAAATAGCAAAGCAGGGGAGAAACAGGGCAGAGGTGAAACAGCACAGCTACAGAAGTCAGAGGAGCTGCCTTAAAAGAGGTGGTGAGAAGGATCAGCAGTGGGCAGAGGAGGTTTGGGAAACACAGCAGAGGAGAAGGACGTCTTGCCGCACAGCAGAGGCTGGGGGAAGCACACCCCTGCCCAAAGCAGCATCCTTCCATATAGCACCTGTGGACGGACCCAGTGCCTCCTCGAACAACGCTTCCATCCCAGCTCCAGTTTCACCACGGAGCAAGTTTGAGTTCAGAAACAGGAGACAGACAGGCACAGGCAAGAATGAGGAACAGACGCCACGGGAGGAACGTGAAGTCTTGCAGCAGACACTGGGTCAAAGGCAGCAAGGGAAGCAGTCCGGCGCTGGCTGGGGTGGGGGGAGCATATCCTGGAGAGAAGCCACAGCTCCCTGGGGTGGTGGGGAAACGGGAGTCCCGCCAGAAGGGCTGGGTCTGCCTTCTGGGAGGGTGCAGAGCTGCCTGTTCAGAATGATCCCCAGCACCCCAAGAAAACCAGGCAAACCCCCTTGATGCCAAACCAGTCACGGAGACAGAATTTGCAGGGGCTGCAAAAACTATCACTACTCCTGAGGCATCAGAGGAAATACACAAGCTGCCGTGGAAGAGCAAAGCTGTCTCTGAGCCCAGTCGGTAAGCACGGTGTCCAACTTAACACTGGCTCTCAAATTTCTCCTTTTAGCCTGCAGGATCCATCATGCCTGTCTTTTTCTTTTTTTTCTTTTTGAGATGGAGTCTCGCTCTGTTGCCCAGACTGGAGTGCAATGGCATGATCTGGGCTGACTGCAACCTCCGCCTCCTCAGGTTCAAGTGATTGTCCTGCCTCAGTGTCCTGAGTAGCTAGGATTACAGGTGTATGCCACCACGCCCGGCTAATTTTTGTATTTTTAGTAAAGATGGGTTTTGTCATGTTGGCCAGGCTCGTCTCGAACTCCTGACCTCAGGTGATCCACCCACCTCAGACTCCAAAAGTGTTGGGGTTACAGGCATGAGCCACCGCCTCTGGTCATGCCTGTCTTTTTCTGAAGTCAGGGGCTAAAGAAGGCACTCTTTCTACAATCCTCCCAAAGTCCAATTTTGTTTCAGGGGCCTCGAGGTGGGAGAGGGCCCTCACGGACCCACGGGAAAGATAAGCATTCAGGTTACAACATCTCCTGACTGCAGATCTATCCCTAGAAAAAAGCGGCTGCTCAGATGTCCCGAGAAGCAGCTGAGTCACAGAGCTCATCAAGAATGTGGGAGGCAGGGGGAAGGACTGGCTGCAGGAGAACGGAGCATGCAGGAGAGCAGAGCATCACACAGAAACGTGGCTCTAACTGGCTGACCCACGCAGCAGCAGCACACTCAGATGCTTCGCACAACGTGAACCTCAGGTCCTAAACCCTCATCTTCTGACAGATCATTCTGATCCCATTTGTACATCCCTTGTCTCAATAGCTGCTAAGATTGGGTCCACAGAGCTGCCCCAGGCTCCCGAATCCCCTGTCCTCGCCTCTTCAGCCATGTCACCATCATATTCCACATCTTCCCTGGCTCTTTCTCTTCTTCACAGAGGCCGTGTGGAAATCAACCATGCCAGCTCATCCCTAGCTTCTACTATTATAGCAATGACCCAGTGAGGGGAGAAGGCGGAGTGCTAGTAGTAATTGGTACTTAGACGGGGAAACACTTGGTGCACATATATATGCTGTCACCCCCAAGTCCCCTGCCAAGACCAAGGCAAAGCTTCCAAATGTCTTCTCTGGCCTGGCGCGGTGGCTCACACCTGTAATCCCAGCATTTTGGGAGGCCAAGGCAGGCAGGTCACAAGGTCAGGAGATTGAGACCATCCTGGCTAACATGGTGAAAATTCATCTCTACTAAAAATACAAAAATTAACCGGGCGTGATGGTGCATGCCTCTAATCCCAGCCACTCGGGAGGCTGAGGCAGGAGAATCGCTTGACCAGGGAATTGGAGGTTGTGGTGAGCAGAAATCATGTCACTGCATTCCAGCCTGGCGACAGATTGAGACTCCATCTCAAAAAAAAAAAAAAAAAAAAGTCTTTTCTAATTCTCAAACACTCTGGCAGTTACATAGGATTTTTTGTTTTTGTTTTTTGTTTTTGAGATGGAGCTTTGCTCTTGTCACTTAGCCTCCCAAGTAGCTGGTATTACAGGCATGCGCTACTACATCCAGCTAATTTCTGTATTTTTATTAGAGACAGTTGCACCATGTTGGCCAGGCTGGTCTCGAATTCCTGACCTCCGGTGATCCACCCGCCCTGGCCTCCCAAAATGCTGGGATTACAGGCATGAGCCACTATGCCTGGCCAAAATCACTTATCTTAAATTTCATTTTGTGTTTTTATTTTTTAGAGACCAGGTCACACTCTGTTGCCCAGGCTGGAATGTAGTGGTGTAACTGCAGCTCACCGCAGCCTCCATCTCCTGGGCTCAAGCAATCCTCCTGCCTCAGCCTCCCCAGTAGTTGGGACTACAGATGCACACCACCGTGAAGGACTAATTTTTTAATTCTTCGTAGAGAAGGGGATCTTCTATGTTGCCCAAGCTGTTTTCAAACTCTTGGGCCCAGGCAATCCTCCCACCCCAAGCCTCCCAAAGTACTGGGATTACAGGCATGAGCCACCACACCCAGCCTTACATCTCATTTTGTCCTGAGTTTCCTAGTGTGAAAATACTGGGCAGAGGGTGACCTAGGGTGGTTTATCCCAGGAGTTCCCCAGGAAAGCCTGTGGGCATGCTGACAATACCTGGCCCTCATCTCCTGGGACAACATGGAAAGCATTCATGCTGGGGCCAGGTGCAGTGACTCACACCTGTAATCCCAACACTTTGGGAGGCTGAAGCAGGTGCATCACTTGAATTCAGCAGTTTGAGACCAGCCTGGCTAACATGGTAAAACCCCGTTTCTACTAAAAATACAAAAATTAGCCAGACATGGTGGGGCGCACCTGTAATCCCAGCTACTTGGGAGGCTAAGGCAGGAGAATTGCTTGAACCCGGGAGGTGGCGGTTGCAGTGAGCTGAGATCATGTCACTGCACTCCAGTCCTCACGCCTGTAATCCCAGCACTTTGGGAGGCCAAGGCGGGTGGATCATCTGAGGTCGGGAGATCGAGACCATCCTGGCCAACATGGTGAAACCTCATCTCTAAAAATAAATAAATAAATAAAAAAGAAAGAAAGTGTTCATGCTGGGTTAGAGCTCTAGATACCCCTCTCTCTAGATGATCCTTTCACCTTTGCTGTCATACCGTAATGAAACTATCTGGCAAGTAGCTTCCCGGCCTTCACAACATGCAGCTAACAAAGTACACAGGATATCTATAAGAGAAGGGGCCTCTATCCAACCTACTCAGCTCCCTATCTTCCCTAGCCAAACCTCCCTCGTGTTTTCTGGGTTTAGTGCAAAAATCATATAATATAACAATGCTGGAATTATTTTAACAATCACTCCAGCCAGCAATTTTCACATTTGCATGCTTTTTCATGTCCCTATCCACATAATTGGCCTTTTTAAAACTGAAGATGATGTCATGAGCATTTTCCACATTGCTACATAGTCTTTAGAATCATTGTTTCTAGTGGTTACATAACATTAATGGACTGGTTTTACTATAATTTACATACCATTTCTCTATGATTAAACTGGAGGCTGTATCCAATTTTTCACTATTATAAATAATGCTAAAATGTATATGTTCATGTTTTGTCTCTTCTTTTACATGGAAAGAGAATAAATTCCAAGTAATAATACAATGAAATCCCAGGCTATAATCTTTTATAATTCTTGAGTCCT